TGGAGAAAGTGCAGTCCCACTGAAACTGAAGCATTTAAAGCACAAACATTTTTTATTCTTATTTTCTATAGATTGCCCATGGCAAAGACACGCATGGAGATGCAGAGAATCAAGCATTTTGAAAAACCCAAAGCTGTGCCATAGAAACAAAACCTCTACATCTGCTATCGATTTTTGCTGGTCTTCACCCTCCCAGCATATTTGGAAGACATAAGCAGAGACGAGATGTAAAGGGTGATGAGGGTAGATGTAAGGGAGGAGAGGGAGGGGTATTTAGCAATGTCCACTATTTGACCTATCCATGCCAGCAAATGCAATAATTAGTAGCTACTGATGTGAAGTTGGACCAGCTTTAAAGAACTTTGTCTAAAATCCCAGTTAAAGTTAACCACAACTCAAAATGGACCATATCACTGGTCATAATATGCACCTTTTGTCATATCATGTCATTTAAAAGACAAAATTGGTAACACTTTCTATGAATGTCACCTTTGTAAGCATCTATAAACACATTCATAACATGTTATAATGCATTCATAAAGCATTATAAACATGGCTATAAATATTTATAAAAATGCATTATACGTTATAGCCATGTTTATTATGCATTATGAATTGTTAACATAATACATTATAAGTACTGTTCATAACAAATTATAAGAGCTCATAAGTTGTATTTGTCCGCTCTAAGCTGCCATCAGTGTTTTACCCAGTGTGGGAAAGGTAATGTACACCACCGTTAGCTTGGTATTTGTCTTTACTTTGCAGTCTCCAAGCTAGGACTGACTTCTTCGGCACTGACATTATAACATGTTATCAACACTACTTATAAAGCATTATATTAACAATTCATAATGTATAATAAACTATAATGGCTATAAAGTGTAATTCATTTTTATAAATGTTTATAATCATGTTTATAATGCCATATGAAGGCATTATAACATGTTATAAATGTGTTTATAGATGCTTACAAATGTGACATTCATAGAAAGTGTTACCACAGAATTCTTTAATCTTTGATTAACCCCTTGCCGGCGGTCCAAAACTTTTATTACACAGTTCTATAACCTAAGAATAGCTCAACCAGTTTGCATTAAGTCCCTGTAGTTGCTAAATAATAAGCCTTAATATGTACTAGGCCTGGGATTTTAATGGGTTAAAGCTACACTATGTAAGTTTCGGGGATTTGGTGGAAAGGCGTATTGCATTGAACATGTGTAAGAATGTTTTGTAACAAGAGTGGTGCCTCTGACCCTGACCTTTGTGGTACAATTGAGGTTGTTAGCAAAAAGCATCTGATACATGAGCTAAGCAGAAAGTTCACAGATAACTGTTTTAATGTTGTTAGCTAGCTAAGCTAATTCAGTGGCCTACACCACTAGCTACTGTAGAAGGTTACGCCAAGGGATTTGTTGACAGTTGGAATAAGAACCGTCGACAAAGTAAAGAAATCTGAGTCTGTACGTTTCTCTGTGATGAACCATTTCAGATCAAACCGCTTTGAATGACTTTGTTTACAGCTTTAGAAGTGAATTCTGCTGAAATTTTGAGAAATTGGTGGATTTCCCTTTTGATGCTCAGCCTGTAGCTAAGCTGGATGTGTCTTGTCCAGACACATCCTGTGGATTTCATGGAAAAGTAACAGCAGCCAAAGATGCAGCGTCACCTTATTTTGCGTACATGTGTAGAAGAGATGCGGAGGCATGACAATAGCTGGTAGTCGCATTGGAAGCCCATGGCTGCTTTTATTGAAGGCTTTAATAAGGTGTTTTATTTGGAAGCCAATATCAAGCTCTCCGTATTCATAGCCAGCTTTGTGGTAATCCTCATCCTTCCAGCCTTCATGATTTATTGAAGATGCCCATGCAAGGGGTTTAAATGAAACTGAATCACATATGGCCTTATAAGATGTCTTTCTGAAGTGCACTTAGTCAGCAAATAGCCAGAGTCACGACGATGTCTGTGACAATATTTTCCATTACAGCACAGTAAGCACCTGATCAAAATGATAATCAGTAACTTGTGGGTATAAAGGATCGTAGAGTCTCGGTGGAGGGCTTTCAGTTACTCTTCAGCTCCCATATCTTCTCATTCTATATTGAGGCATAAAATGAAGTGTTTATTATTCCTCCTTTCAGTGAACGCCGTGACCTTCTGCTCTTGTGAACTTAAAGGGCCTGTTTCATGGACAACTGAATGTATTCAATTTCATGAAGTAAAAGAGTTTGATGTTGTATGTAAACATTGTAAAATTACAGTCCAAATATGGAAACTAAGCTGCAAAAACAGCCCAGTGGTTTTTGTACTTTGCGAGGGAAACTCTCGTGAATGCATATCACTGTTGTCAGAAGAAAACCTTGCATTTCCGAAGTGGCAGCTTTACAGCAGAAGGAAAAAAACCTGCTTTACTTTAAATACAAGTCAATGGAACCAGACTTTTTTCCAAGTCATTTTGGGTCAGTTCTTTAGGTCCATTCATCATGAAATTTACATACAATGTAAAGGGCAACAGGTATTTTCAAACTATGTAAAAAACTGAAAAACGTCAAAAATGGAGCTACAAGGTTTTCTTCTGACAACAGTGATATGCAAGGAGGCAAAAGCGCAAGAGATCAGTGACTGTTACTTTGGCCTTATTATGGGCACTGAGGGGCCTATTTAGTCAACCACACCTATGTAGTAATTCACAACAGCTGTTTTTTTATGGCCATGAGCCTGTGGTGTCTGATGAACAGTTTGTAAAAGTTCAAGAAAATGCATTAAAATGATTATAATCTACTATACACCAAAAACACTGCATTAGTAGAATAGGATGAAGAAGTAAAAGTATTTTTTTGAGAATGCTGTTTCTCGGGTTAGCCAGTGAATATCCATAAAACTGAACTGAGACCTAAAATTGAAGCAAATTCTTGTTTCCTTGTGCTGTTTTATTTTGTTGGACCTTAGCACAGACTTTGATACAAGCAATCGTGACAGTCTTTTAGATGGTCTTGACAGAGTGGCGGGTATTCAAGATACAGAATTAGATGGGTTTAACTTTTATTGTTACATTAGGAAATTTCTCATCATCACCGGTGGCCTGCTCTAATGGTGTTCCTCAAGACTCGATTTCAGGCCCTCTTTTATTTTCTCTGTAAATGCTTTCCCTGGGCTTCTTTCAAAACAGAATGAGCTAGGTTTATAAAATACACCGCCGGATTCATTGTGATGTTAAGAGAAAGTAGTGTGGCCATAACACATTTGCTTATTCATAAACAAGGTTTACAGGCAAATTTTACCACTTTTGAGATATGAGGCATAGCCACTGTTATCTTATTTCAGATTGACAGATTTAATGATGGCACTGTGCTTAAAACGGCCTCTTCTTCCTGCATCAAAGTCCATGTTTGGTGTATGTGGGAAGTGTGTTTAGCTTGTAATCCAAATAAGTACATATGGGAATTGTAACGTGTTGACAGAAAAAAACAGACGCTCGCGGATAAAAAATAACAAGAGCAGCAGTTTAAATCACTCTAGGCCAAAGTGTATTCAAAAAATACCAAGTGAACAATCCAAAGAGGGCAGAGCAAAAACGTAATCCAAATAACAGAAAAAGGGGTCAAAAACACAGGTCAGCAAAGACAGGCAAAAGTATCCAAAGGGTAAGACAAAAGGCAGAATCCAGACAAACAGAGCAAAGGTCAAAAACAGAGTATCGGTCATATGAATACAAACGCTCAGTAGTTCTCAAGGAAACAATACTTCGCAATATGCCTACCTAAAGCCCGGGCTTATAAACTAAACAGCTTGAGTCATATGACATCCTACACAGGTGTGACACATCAGTATTCAGGGGAACTAGATCTCTGATAGGAGCGTGTTTGAGAGTCAGTGATCACGTGAGTTTCCCTAGAACTCTGGGTAATGGAGTCCGTGTTGTCCTCCATCTCTGAAGGACGTTGTGCCGTGACGTGATCTCCCGAGGGATTCTGGGAAATGGAGTCCGTTTTCCTTTGACCTCTTGCCGAATGCGTGACAGGAATGACATTTTCACTAGTGAAAAATAATTTCTTACAAATAAAAACTGTTTTACTAGCCAAGATTGAATATTAATTTTCACAAATGATAATCAAATTCCTGATATCAAGAATTAAATATTTTTACTTGTAATTTTATTTCCATGTGTGAACTAAATTCCTGAGATCAAGAAAATAGGAAATAAATGCTAAAACAGCTGCCATAGTAATTACTTTTTCAGCAAGTTAATTTAATTTTTAACTATAATTAAACAACTAAATGTTATTTGTTTTAGTAAAAATTTGTACAGTAATTACAATTGAAAAGGCTTGTATTATTATTATCATTATTATTATTATTATTATTATTATTATTATTATTATTACTTAATTTAGAAATTAAATATTACATGCTTAAGTATTATTCCTACAATTAAAAATTGCTTCATAAAAAGTTTTTCATAAATGTAATTTTTTATGGTTAAAAGCATCTTTACCAAAGTTGTCAGCACGTTTTCCTTTAAAATTCATAGCTCTGTTTCTGAGATTTTTTAATTTTTTGTTTCTTTGTTTTTGTTTCTTTCATGGTGTTAATTTTAATAGCCAACCAGATTTCAATAAGCCCTTAATACGTCTATAACTCCATTTACATGTGGATTTTGATTGGCTCTTGCCGGTGAACATACTGCTGTATTAAAGAGAGACCTCGTTGCCAACACAGTGTCTTTAAAAACAGCTCACGTTTTGTGGCTGCAGATTTTACATGGTGTAGAGCTACTACCACCAAGTTTTATGAATCTGACTCAATATGTCTTATAATTTGTTTGCAAATGATACCACTGTAGCTTTGACTACTGTGCCTTTATATGGGTTCCTGACTGGAAGTAGAGAAAGAGGCCATATCTCTCCAGTTCTTGCATCACTCCAATGGCTACCAGCACAGATTAAAGGGTCTTTTGTTTGACCTTCTCAAGCACTACTTTACCTGTGTTTCCTGGGCAGGTGCTGACGGTTTGATGGGCGTCTATCTGTTCGTGATCGGGGCGTATGACCTGAAGTTCCGCGGAGAGTATAACCGCCACGCCCAGGCGTGGATGGACAGTGTGCCGTGTCAAGTGGTGGGCTCTCTGGCCATGCTGTCTACAGAGGTGTCCGTCATGCTTCTCACTTACCTTACTTTAGAGAAGTACATCTGCATCGTATACCCCTTCCGCTACCTGACCCCTGGACGGCGGCGCACCGTCACTATACTGGTGGCCATCTGGATCCTGGGCTTTATCATTGCTTTCTTACCTCTGGTGTGTAAAGAGGTGTTCCGAAACTTCTATGGCACCAATGGAGTCTGTTTCCCCCTCCATTCGGAGCAGCCAGAGACTGCAGGAGCACAGATCTACTCCATTGTCATCTTTCTGGGTGAGTGAAAAGGCAACTACAACTGATATTAGGGCTTAGTTCATACAGCAGGGCTAATCGGATTTGTCTCTACATCGTAAGTTACAAGAGACCAAATCTGATTTGTATGGTCAGGATCTTTGGTTGGATGTCTTTAGTCTTTCAGGGAAAGAAAAATCAATGGAATTCCTCTTTACAGAATAAAGAAGCAGAATGCTTTATAAAACATGACAGATATACGAGGCAAATGCTAAAATATGTTGTTTTTATTGTACCATTTAGAGCAGGGTTTCCCAGCATTCTTTAAGGTTTTACTTTGTCTTACTTGCTTCTTATTTTTATTTTTCATCAGTTCGCTTCGAGTTTTTTCCTTTTTACAATATGTTATCTCTATGCTAAAGTGTAGAACTGGATGCATTTAACATGTTTTGTTTGGTTCATCATGATGATGTTCTGCGTTCAGATTTACCCAGTACAGCTTGTCTTGGTGTGATAAAGGTAAATAAGTGGTAACTTTAGGCTTAGCAGTCGCTAACTGGGCTCTCGGTAGGCAGACTTGTAAGGGTTTTGCTCTATTGTCAGGATATCACCTGTTTGAATCCTGTTTCAGTGTCGATACTACTAAATCTGTGAGTTGTTCGTAATGTCTTATATTATCAGCCAACAAAAATATTGTCTGGATTCTGAAAGAGAATACAGAAGATTTTCCTCTTTTGAGTTAAAGGTAATGTAGTTGATTTTTTACGCATGAGACTGTAAAATTATGGATTGTTCCTTACATGGAGTGAATACATTTTTCTGTATATACATAGAATATGTACTATAATTTAACAGACTTTTCTGTTAAATGAGTGACGGAATTGTTGTTAATTTTACAGAAAATGTCCCCGTAAGTTTTTGCTGATTAAAAGCATCTTTACCAAAGTAAAATATGTTTCCTTTTGTTTGTTTCTTTGTTTTTGTTTCTTTCATAGTGTTAATTTTAATAGCCAACCAGAGTTTCAATGGTCTTTAATATATATATAACCCCATTTATGTGTGGATTTTGATTGGCTCTTGCCTAGGACATCGGTGAACATACTGCAGTGTTAAATAGAGACCTAGTTACCAACACAGTGTCTTTAAAAACAGCTCACGTTTTGTGGCTGCAGATTTTACATGGTGTAGAGCTACTACCACCAAGTTTTATGAATCTGACTCAATATGTCTTATAATTTGTTTGCAGATGATACCATTGTAGCTTTGTGCGTGACGATTCCAGATACAAGTATTTATCTTGTCATGCACTGACTACTGTGCCTTTATATGGGTTCCTGACTGGAAATAGAAAAAGAGGCCATATCTCTCCAGTTTTGCGGAGATAAAATTAATACTATGAAAGAAACAAAAACGAAGAAACAAACTAAAGGAAACATATTTTACTTTGGTAAAGATGCTTTTAATCAGCAAAAACTTATGGGTACATTTTCTGTAAAATTAACACACAATTCCATCAATCATTTAACAGAAAAGTCTGTTAAATTATAGTACATATTCTGTGTATATACAGAAAAATGTATTCACTCCATGTAAGGAACAATCCATAATTTTACAGTTTCATGTGTAAAAAATCAACTATATTACCTTTAACTTAATTTTTCTTATGTCATTTTCAGTTTGTTTGTTTTTTTTAGTAGTTATCAAAGTTGGGTTACCAGTGACTATATTTACAATTCACACTCTAATAAAGAGTTCCTGAAACATTCCAGTTTGAAGAATGAACAACACCTAACAGTAGCTTTTCACTAGTTAGCTTGTTTTGCTTGTGTTATTGACTACTCCAGACATTATGAATGGATGACAGGGATTTGGGGGTGGGTTTTAGAGGGGGCATACCCTTTGAGAGGTTTTCCCCAGATGTTCTGCAATAGAAACAAATCTCATTTCATTTCATTCCAATGTAAATTCATTTACCCCAATCATCTGCCTAGCTGTCTTAAGTGAACACAATGTGTCACTAGCATTATTATTGACTTGGGAATTGATAGCTTTTTTCACTTTCAAAGGTTTCGAAGTTTTATTTTGAAAGTTTCTTTTTTTGATCACACTTCCAAACTGTCTCCCTGGTCTGGGAAGAGTCTGAAAGATCTTTTAAGAAAAGATGTTGGTGAGCCCTCAATTTGTTTGGTGTGATAGAGGTCATATTGAGAGTTGGAAAGGCAGCCAGAAAGAGACTACAAAAGACCACTCTTAACTGATAGCGTCCAATAATCTCTGCAGTGGCCACTAGAAGGGGGTCCTGTGCTGTCCCCCAATTCAATTCAAAGCTGGATTTTTCAAACTGCTTTTAAAGGACTGCAGGATATGACTTCAGGCATCCATCAAGTTAACCTTGAATCTGTGGACACACCGCTGTGGGATAAGCTGCGCTTCTTGAAGGATTATCTTTTTTTTTCCTGGAAAATCACAGGCACATAAATATAAGATCAAGGATCAAAACAGATCCTCTCTGATCTCTGCCTGACAGATCAAGGTTTTACTTTAACCCATAGGTGAACAAGTTGATCAGATACCTTAAGACAGACTGATTCAGTCTGTAACATACAGCGTCATTAAAACATGTAGTTGCTGTAACTGCTAAATACTTAGCTAACCTGCTATCAACACTTGCTATATTGACTTAAGAAGCACTGTGTGGGCAGTCGTGAAAGCTTTGAAAAGGACGACAGACATCGCCACCAATCTGACACCTGTAAATTCAGTCCTAAAGTAATGCTTTCTGTTGACCAGACATCCTTGCAGCACTTAAATGACCAAGACTACTATCAAGCTAATCACAACACTATGTTTGCATGCACTCTAAGTTCTCTAGTCACTCTAGTTAATCTAAAAAACTGGACTGAACCAAGATGTTTGCAATTCAGTCCATATATAGTCTCATTCACATTTACACCACCGTAGTCTGACTTTATAAAGGGGAATCGACTCCCTTATAAATACCTACAGGACCAGAAGCACTACAGCACTATCTATGCATGGATCTGAATACTCCTCAGCATGCAAAGCCATGGCATTACTCAATAAACCATTTAACCACTATGTAATGTTTAGTCATGCATTGTCTACTTAAGAGCTCCACAGAATCTCATAGAAATCCTTGCTTTTACAGTAATTAAAACTCGATGTGGCAAATTATTAACAGTGCTCATTGCTGGCATTGTGTTTGGTTGTTGTCCAAATAACCACAGTATGGAATAATGTGACTCTTTAAGAGATTATCAGTGTTTTATTGGTGTGATTTCCAGCACTGTAGTGATGCATGACAGGTCAGAGTTACTGAGGAGAACCACAGGTGGTCAGTACTGCACCAGAGGGGGTGCACAAGAGTCATGAATCTCATAGCACCCAACCCAACCCACAAGCTCTATTCCCATCTCGCTGAAACAGATGAAGTCTTGAAGAAAGGTGAATAATGGTGGAGGCACTTTATATATATGGACTCTAGAGCAGTGGAAATATATTCTGCGGAGCAACAAATCATGCTTTTCTCTTTCTGGCAGTCTGATAAATGGGTTTGGCCAGGAGAACGTTACCTGTCTGACTACATTGTGCCAAGTGTAAAGTTTGGTGGAGGAGGGATATTGCTATGGGGTTGTTTTTCAGGGGTTGGCCTTAGTTCCAGTGAAGGGAAATCTTATTGCTTCAGCAGACCAAACTGAGCCCCAGTCCTGTAGGTGCAATATATATATATATATATATATATATATATATATATATATATCATATATATATATATATATCAGCCACTGATTGTGCAAGTTCTCCTACTTAGAAAGATGAGAGAGGTCTGTAATTTTCATCATAGGTACACTTCAACTATGAGAGACAAAATGAGAAAAAAAAATCCAGGAAATCACTTTGTATATAAATAAGAAAATAAGTATTTGGTCAATAACAAAAGTTCAACTCAATACTTTGTAACATAACCTTTGTTGGCAATGACAGAGGTCAAACATTTCCTGTAAGTCTTCACCATGTTTGCACACACTGTAGCTGGTATTTTGGCCCATTCCTCCATGCAGATCTCCTCTAGAGCAGTGATGTTTTGGGGCTGTCGCTGGGCAACACGGACTTTCAACTCCCTCCACAAATTTTCTATGGGGTTGAGGTCTGGAGACTGGCTAGGCCACTCCAGGACCTTGAAATGCTTTTTACGGAGCCACTCCTTCGTTGCCCGAGCGGTGTGTTTGGGATCATTGTCATGCTGGAAGACCCAGCCACGTTCCATCTTCAATGCTCTCACTGAGGGAAAGAGGTTTTGGCTTAAAATCTCACGATACATGGCCCCGTTCATTCTTCCCTTAACACGGATCAGTCGTCCTGTCCCCTTTGCAGAAAAACAGCCCCAAAGCATGATGTTTCCGCCCCCATGCTTCACAGTAGGTATGGTGTTCTTGGGATGCAACTCAGCATTCTTCTTCCTCCAAACACGACGAGTTGAGTTTTTACCAAAAAGTTCTATTTTGGTTTCATCTGACCACATGATATTCTCCCAATCCTCTTCTGGATCATCCATATGCTCTTTGGCAAACTTCAGATGGGCCTGGACATGTACTGGCTTAAGCAGGGGGACACGCCTGGCACTGCAGGATTTGAGTCCCTCTCGGCATAGTGTGTTACTGATGGTAGCCTTTGTGACTTTGGTCCCAGCTCTCTGCAGCTCATTCATCAGGTCCCTCCGCGTAGTTCTGGGATTTTTGCTCACCGTTCTCATGATCATTTTGACCCCACGGGATGAGATCTTGCGTGGGGCCCCAGATCGAGGGAGATTATCAATGGTCTTGTATGTCTTCCGTTTTCTTACAATTGCTTCCACAGTTGATTTATTCACACCAACCTGCTTGCCTATTGTAGATTCACTCTTCCCAGCCTGGTGCAGGTCTACAATTTTCTTCCTGATGTCCTTCGACAGCTCTTTGGTCTTGGCCATGGTTGAGTTTGGGGTGACTGTTTGAGGCTGTGGACAGGTGTCTTTTATACAGATAACGAGGTCAAACAGGTGCCATTAATACAGGTAATGAGTGGAGGACAGAAGAGTGAACCAAATAGAAGGGTGACCAAATGCTTATTTTCCACCATAATTTACAAATAAATTCTGTAAAAATCCTACAAAGTGATTTCCTGGATTTTTTTTTTCATTTTGTCTCTCATAGTTGAAGTGTGAAGTGAATACCTATGATGAAAATTACAGACCTCTCTCATCTTTCTAAGTAGGAGAACTTGCACAATCAGTGGCTGACTAAATACTTTTTTGCCCCGCTGCATATATATATATATATGTATATATATGTATATAATATATATATATATATTATATATATATATATATAATTGTCCATTTACATTGTTATTCAAATGATGTCTTCTTTCTTTGTAGGTCTGAACCTGGTGGCATTCCTCATCATTGTGTTGTCCTATGGGAGCATGTTTTATAACATCCAGAGGACCGGAACCCAGACGACCAAATACAGCAACCACATAAAGAAAGAACTGACTATAGCCAAACGCTTCTTCTCCATTGTCATCACAGATTCACTTTGCTGGATTCCCATTTTCATCCTCAAGATCTTATCACTTATGGAGGTGGAAATCCCAGGTAAGTGCTTCCTCAGGGGCTTTTCATGGTGTTCAGGGACATTCGGTTCTGTGAGGTCATTTATCATCCCTGGTCTTTTAGCTTTTGTTCTGAGGGCTGTGTCAGCTGAAAATGCTGAAGGGAAAAAGCTGTATTTGGTAATGTAGTCTGGTCTGTTTTAAAATGACACTTCAGCATTTGGGACATTTCGTAAAATGAAAAGAGTCGTCTTTGTATCTTCATTTTTTCTGCTTGGGTACAATTAGACAGATTGTCATATGTCCTCTGCATCCTTTTATGTTCCTTCATTATCTTCTGGAACGTTTTATAAAACTGCTTAGCCATAAATGTTTGCTTCTGTGCTTCTTATCTGAATAAAATGATGTTCCCAAACAAAAACAGAGAGCACAATGCCATTACCAAATTGCCAAGAACTTCTTATGGCTCAAATGTATTATTCATGGCCTTGTATGTGTTCAGGAACCATCAGCTCATGGGTGGTCATCTTCATCCTGCCCATAAACAGCGCTCTAAACCCTATCCTCTACACGCTGACCACACGGCCCTTCAAGGAGACCCTCTTGCAGGTGTGGTCAAACTACAGACAGCGAAGACCACTGCTCAGCAGCCATCCGGCCCACCTGCCCTCCTTCACCTGGCAGGAGATGTGGCCCCTTCAGGAGACCAGCCAGAACCTGACCTCACCCGAATACCTGGCACACCCTTCCGAAATGTCCTGCACATCCGGGACGTCCCACCTTTTGCCTGCCGAGGAAATGAACAGGACATGATGCTTTATGGAGGGATCCTGCCGACTACGCCACCTCATGGCCCGTTCATACAATGCAGACTCCTTTGTATGTTTATAATATGCATGACCAGGCTCAAACTGAGGGTGTCAGAGTGAGGAACGAGTGTTTTGCACTGAATTCATTTGATTGTGTTGATAAGCCTGTGGAAAGGCTTGGTCAGTTTGTTTACACTTAGACTACCGTAATGATGGCAGGTGATCAGAAACCAGTGTTGGATAATGAACTCCGAGATTGCTAACTGTTTCTTCATCAGTTCATCCTTATTCTTTGAAATCTTGTTAGTTGTAGTGACTTGCATGTCTTTTGTCCATCAGAGTCATGAGTGATTGTTGAGCGGTCAAAATCTGCAAAGATGTTTTTTGTTCCTCTCAGCGACGTAACCAGAATTATACGAGCCCCAGCACGGAAAAAAAGAAGGTTCCCCCACCCCTTTTAAAAATGTCTCAACCAAGTTGATGCTCTCAAGGTATTGCACTCTAACCACTAGCATTGTATTAACATTAACATTAGCCTAAATGTTTGACAACCTATTTGGATAAATAGTCATATTTAGTCCATTCTGATGCCACAATCTAATTGGTTGAAAAGCGTTCTTATTAATGACAACAGCATGTTTTTTTCCACAATAATTGTGAACACTGGTTGCTAAGTAGTGCCTCACATTTGGGGGTTCCTTAGATGACACCTTTTCAAACATGAGGCCACGTTTCGTGCTTAAAAAACTGGACACTGTCTTAGGGGTCAGGTTCATGTATTGGAATAAGTAAACACAAGAAGCTGGCACACTTTATTATAGATATACATTTAAAAAAAGATGGTTCTTCAAGGGTTCTTTAGTAAGAAAATGGTTCTACATAGAACCATGAACACCCAAAGAGCCATTTGCATGATTAAAGGGTTCTTTGCACATTGAAATGGTTCTTCAGATTGATGGAGAATGTGTTGTCTATGGTTCTACATAGAAACTTTTTGAAAAGGATTCTATATAGCACCAAACAGGGTTCTTCTAATGTTACAATCTTATCATCATAACCATAGCAGAACCCTCTTTGGAGCTACATAGAACCCCTTTCAAAAAGTTCCATTTTAGAACCACATGCAACAGACAAAGAACCATTTAAGCATGCAATTCGCTCTTTGAGTGGTCATGGTTCTATATAAAACTATTACCTTTACTAAAGAATCATTGAAGAACTTTTTTAAGAGTGTAGAAAATTTAGAAAAGTAATAGATTAAAAACGTAGATATCAAAAAACACAGGTAAAAGAAAGACTGCAATTCGAAAACAGGCAATACAAGCTTTTTTTTGGTGTAGATGATGTATAGCACTCTTCTATGGCATTTAGAGTAAAAGTCGATGGCTTTTCAACTTAAAAGTGAGGTGAAAAATGCAAAGTGTGCTGGCTTTGAATGCTTTCTAGTCATGATGCCTGTTGCTCAGCAGACAACAGTGAAAAGAAGCACACTTTAGACAGTTTGGAAAAGCATATATACAACCCTTATACTAATCATTACTTCATTAGCACATATAGAAACAGAAAACAGATCCATTAGATAAATTTTATAAAATATATTTGATCTGCAGCCCGTCTGGTCAGATTCCGAGTGTGAGAGCAGACCTACATCAAACTCTGAACCATCTTTGCCTCTAAGCGAGCGTTTCAGTAAGCAGCGGTGATGATGGAACAACTGAACAAACTGGAATTAGCCAGAAACAAATAGAAAGAAGAGCATTTAGTTCAGAGAACAAGATGATGTTTTACAGACTGATTGACTGAGTGAACGAAGCCGCATTCAGGTTAATCTGGCAAATATTAAAATTGCTGAGCTGAACCTGATATTTTGGCAGAGTTCGGGCTCAATCTTTCTTCTTTGCTTTACTTTTTTCTTTATTTTGTAAAGTGAACAAAAGCAAAAGAACACTTCACACATCAATATCAATATTAAGAATGTTTCTCTCAATCTTTTTCTTTTTATTTCAGTCAGCTCAAAACTCATGAGATACAAATGTGTAGCATACAACTGCTGCTCTGTGAATAAATATAAAAGGGTTTTTATACAATCATAGATAAACTATTCATGTCAAACATTTTATAGTTGGTAAGGTAGTACAGTTTGAGTCTGTCAGCACACGCCATACCATTTTACAATGTGGCATTCTAGATTATTTACATCAGCTGTTTCAGAACAGCTCATGGGCAAATATTTGTGCTATGTAGGCTAGTGTGTCTTTACTGCTTTACACTGAGTCTACTTGCTCTAGACGAGGTAGCTAAAGCATCCCCAAGTTATGCCTACAATTGCTTTTAATTTATGTGTCAATAGGCTGCTTAATCATACGAAAGGAAGCAGACTGAATAAAGTAGCTTCTTATAGAACCTCATTCATCCATGTGTATATAAACTCTTCTCAGATGATAGTGCTGTTTCATGCACCATATATTTGAATGGCTCTATGAAAGCCAGCAGAGCTCAGAGTCAGGGTCACACAACACTGCGTTACAGATAGACACTGCTTTTATAACACACTATTCAATTAGATGATCACCTGATTACTTAGCAGGGGACAGAAAACCCACATCCATGAAGAAGGGGCATCGCACTGGTCACAGATCAAAGGCAGGATGGTTATTTAAACCAGCAGGAAAAATACAGAGAGAGAGTGTGTAGATGTATGTGTATGTATATCGTCAATGTCTAAGAAAACCTTGTATCTCGTTTTTTAAATGAAATTAATTAATTCATTTATTGATTTATTTAACTCCATTTGAAAAAGTCCTTTACCTTGTGTGACCATTTCTTGATGAACGGACAAAATAGAAATTTTAAAAACCCAGGCCTTTCATGCTGCTGTCATAAGCGAAATAGTAACTTTCTAAGAGAAGGAAAGACCCAATGAACCTAAATCCATGGTTTCTTGCTCTTGTGCAAAATACAGGGGGTCTTGGGGATCTGGGACCCCCTAATTATCATTTTGGACCCCCTTAATGCCCCATTTCTGGGGAGTCTCTGAAAATAAGCTTATTATAATATTATACTGTCTTAACTAACTACAGATGCAGCGCTAGTCTGCCTCAGGGTGGCGCTGTAGCAGACTGGTTTACCCATATAAATCCATAACAATAGCAGAACCTTTTTCGGTGCTATTTACAACCATTTTCAGAAAGGTTCTATATAAAACTATCTACAGCACTCATCAATCTGTAATCTGAAGAACACTTTCACAATGCAAAGAACCCTTTAATCATGCAAAGGGTTCTTTGAGTGTTCATGGTTCTATATAGAACCATTTTCTTTACTAAAGAACCCCAGAATAACCATCTTTTTTGAGTGTGCAGGTCTATGTGAGTTGTCATGAGGGCCTTATGCAGAATTATGTAGAACCCTTTGCATGATTAAAGGGTTCTTTGCATTGTGAAAGGGTTCTTCAGAATGCAGATTGCAGAGTGCTTTAAATGGTTCTATGTATCACCAAATATGGTTCTGCTATTGTTATGATGTCAAATCTGTAACATTAGAAAACCTCTTTTTGGTGCTATATAGAACCATAAACACATTCTCCATCAATCTGAAGAACCATTTCACCATGCAAGGAACCCTTTAATCATGCAAAGGATTCTACATAATTGGACATAAGCCCTTCATGACAACAGACATAGGCCTTCAAAATGATGGTTCTTCAAGGGTTTTTTCAATAAAGAAAATGGTTCTATATTCTATGATTAAAGGATTGGATCATGAAAGAGTTCTTCAGATTGCAGATTGCAAAGTACAAGATGGTTGTATATAGAACCCATAGGGTTCTATGCAGCACCAGAAAGGGTTTTGCTATAGCTATGATGTCAAGCTTGTAACAATAGAAGAGCCCTTTTTAAAAAAGGGTTAGAACCATTTTCAAAAAGGTGCCATGTACATGAACCATGTCCAACACATTCTCCATCAATCTGAAGAACCTTTTCACCATGTAAGGAACCCTTTTAATCATACAAAGGGCTCTGCATAATTCTACATAAGGTCTTCATGACAACTGACATAGGCCTACACACTTAAAAAAAAAGTGGTTCTTCAAGGGTTCTTTAGTAAAGAAAGTGGTTCAATATAGAACCATGAACACTCTAAGAACCACTTGCATGATTAAAGGATTCTTTAGATTGTGAAAGAGTTCTTCAGATTGCAGCGTGCTCCAGATGGTTATATATAGAACCTTTTTGAAAAGGGTTCTTTATAGCACCAAAAAGGGTTCTGCTCATATTATAATGTCAAGTCTGTAACAATAGAAGAATGCAAAGAACTCTTTAATCATGCAAAGGGGTCTTTGAAGGTTCATGGTTCTATATAACACAATTTTAAAGTACCCTTTAATTTATTTATTTTTTTTGGGGGGATTTTCACCTTATTTTCTCCCCAATTTAGTCGTTTCCAATTCCACCCGCTAGTTAGGACTCCCCCAATCACACGATGCTATCAACGCTAGGAGGGTGAAGGCTAACACAGGCGTCCTCCGAGACCTGTGAACCCAACCACGCTTCTTTTCGAACTGCCGCTCACGCAACGTCACTGGACAGCCGAACGCGCTCGGAGGAAAGCGCCAACCGCCAGATCTGTTACGTCAGCTAACAGACGCCTGCGCTGACTAGCATCGCGTTGAGTGATGGGGGGAGAGGGAGGGCCATCCTTCCCACCCAGAGAGAGCGAGGCCAACTGTGCTCTCTTGGACTCCCAGCTACGGATGGCTGTAGCATCACCAGGGATTGAACTTGCGATCTCCTGATGATAGGGCCAACTCTTAGACGGTTGCGCCACTCGGGAGCCCCATACCCTTTAATTTTTTAAGTGTGTACACATACATTAATAATAGGCATCATTTGTCATAAAGGGTCGCAAGTTGACATCACATCTGTGTCAGGTGACCTAATGTGACACGGTGCTGATCACAGCGACATAATGCTGATAATCTGACATTCAAAGTCAGGTTGGTTGAACAAATGTGGTGGGACCCATTTTTAATGT